CCCCAAAACCCCAAAACCCCAAAACCCCAAAACCCCTCTTCCTTAAAGTTTTATTGAAAGTTTTAGAAATTAAATATTATCCCAATAATGATGATAGAAAATCCAGAAATAATATAAGGATGAACAAGAATCGGGATGGCTTCTTCAATAATATGAATTTCATTGAAAAGACATATAGCGGTGCTATTCTTTAGGTTATTTCCTTAATGATAATGGTATCCTTATGCATGTTTGAAATCCAGGCTTTGTTCGATAACAACGTCATTAGCGTGCTAAAGATTGAACAAATGGATCCACATGAGAAAATACAAATTAACATTGATATTGATTTCCCGGCAACCCCTTATGATGTCATTTCCCTAGACATTCAAGATGAGATGGGCACACACATGGTAAATGTAGAAGACTCAATCAAAAAGGTCAGAATGAACTCGAAGAAGGATTAAAATGGAACAAATCTAGGAGGTTACAAAGATATTGTACAGAAAGCAATGGGCTTAAGTGAGAAAAAATTGAAGATCAACTTAAAAGAGCTCAAATAGCTTTTGAAACAGGTGGAGGGTGTAATATAATAGGAAATATTAGTGTCAACAGAGTTCCTGGGAATTTCCATATTGAATCCTATGCTTATATGCAACTTCTGGCCATGCTTGGTCAGCAGATTAACCTCACTCATACTATTCATAATCTTAGTTTTGGAAATAAGAGAGTACTTAAATCTGTTCAGAAAAAATTTAAGGATAAAGCTGGAGAATTTATATCTCTTATTGGCCATAAAGAAATATCAGAAGAGTTAGGAACAAGCACAAATTATCAATTAAACCTTGTCCCTACTCGCTACAGAGACTATTTTGGGTTCAAGCATTCTTTCGTCTATCAATATACATATACTGTAGGGTCTGAAAACATTGGCAACGAAGTTGTATATTTCAAATACTTCATCAATGGGATTACAGGAGATTATATGCAAACAGCAGATACGTTCCTCCAATTTATCATCGGAATCTGAACCATTATCGGAGGAGTCTTCACTATGTTTCATATTTTGAGTGTAATGCTGAACAAATCAATAAATGTGCTATACAAGGAAAGAATTGGAAAGAAAGATTAATAACCCGAAATCAACCATTGCTCAAAGTTATGGGGTTTTGGGGTTTTGGGGTTTTGGGGTTTTGGGGTTTTGGGGTTTTGGGG